AGTAAATATTGAATCTTTGAGCTTAAACAAAAACTAACCCTAAGTATCTTTTAGGCTTAGTTTAGATTGTTCCATTTTCTAGACACTCTACACCTTGAGAAGAAGTGAGTTCATATTTTACCTTTGAAGCACAACTCAAGAATGACATTCTTGAGTTGATCACCTTGTAGGAAAGGCCTTTTTTGGTTCTCTCCTCATCAAAGAAGGAAAAATGTATGATGCAACCTAGCTTTCTTTAAGTCAAGTGTATCAAATCTCTGCAATGGTGAAGATTCAATAAGAGTCCTATTTATTCACATGACTATTAGCTTTCCCTAAGCTTTTATCTATTTTCTCTGAGCTAGTCCTATTATTTTGTATGAGCTAGTCCATCATAAATCCCCTCAAGGTGTATCTCAATCCCTTGAGCTAGCATATTTCATTGGTTTAAATTTCATAGGACTTTCTAAACTTGCTCTTTACTTCTTTTGCTTTATTTCATTTGCTTCAGTTTAGATGTTTTACTATTGGCTTTGGTTAAGAGTCTATATGAATGCATTCTTTCAAACCCTAGCAAGCCAAAAATCTCGTCCACTTTCTTTTTATCTATAGAGAAAATTGGCCGGTTACTGAAGATTTGTATGCAAAATGGCTTGAACCTGAACCATTATTTGCTTCTAGGTCTACTACATGCTTGGATTAATTCACCACACAAGGCATAGGCAAGGATACAATCCTACTGGACATCCATAGAAGAATTGAGATTATGAAAGGTAATATGAAGATTAGGTTTCACATTTTGCTGGGTATGCTTATGCAGACTCTACTGAAACCAAAGCAATGTTGGAGTTATTTTAACCTTAAAGTGATCAAATTCTCAAGCGCACAGAGCATAGTCGGGCTGAGCCAAATTTGAAAACCAAGTCTATATCCATCCAGCCACAAAGTTCTCTTCTCTTTTTAAAAAATACTCTATGGACATAGTCAATCTCAAGGGAATCAAGATTGCATAATATTGACTAGTCAACTGTCAGTATTTGAGAGTAAAACAACACTTTGAGAGCAAGACGAGCCACCATCATTCCTCAAACTTGGCTTAAGAAGACGATCAATGAAGAAAGCCTAACCAAAATTGCAGGGATAAAAAGCAACAAAACCTAGCTGAATTCACCAATCGAAATCGCATACAGGAAGAAGTGGGTTTTAGCTTCCCCTCACCTCTCTCTCCTTCTCTTTTCTCCATTCTAAGCCTTTGCAAAATATCTCTTTCTTTTCTTCTTTTCTCTCACCCTAGTCGTCATGTGCCTTCTCTCTCTTCTCTTTTCTCTCTCTCTCTCTCTCTCTCTCTCTCTCTCTCTCTCTCTCTCTCTCTCTCTCTCTCTCCAATTTCCCAACTATTTCATTTCAAGCACCGTAATTAATTTTATTTTTTAGTTTCAACAAGCCTATGTTATAAATCTACACATAAAACAATAAGAAAAGAGAATGATGTTGCTCTAAAATCAAGATCGACTTGAAGAAAATCTTAAAATTGGGTATGGTGGAGAAAAAACAAAAAATAGGCTTTGCTAGTGGCAAGGAGGGAGGAGAGGGGGTTGCCACTGACAGGGTGCAGTGGTTGTAGTGGATGGATGTGGAGCTTCAGTGGCAACCAACCGAACATCTACTATTGGTTGTTGGGTTTTTCCTTTTTTCTTCATGAATTTTATTTATTTTTGAATTTTATTAGAAGTTAACACTATTATGTAGGTGTTAAGTAAAAAAACATGTGTCAAATTACATCAGGGACACATAAGGCACATGCAAAATCGGTTCATAGGATTTATACTCAAAATTTAGAGGGTTTTATGTAAGGGTGGGCATTCAAAATGGCAAACCGGAAAGTTGAGTTGAATCACATAGAGAAGAACTAGAAAAAAATATATAGTTAACTAAAAAGTCAACAACCGATCAATAAACCAAACCGAACCAATTTCGATTATGATTCCATTCCTCCAAAAATCAGATTGAGCCGAACCAAACTGGCTTGAATATAATTAGTATTTTTTTAAAATTTATTTTGTATATATGTAGTTGGCTTCATTTTACCTCAACCTTCCATTCCCAACTTCAAGCCCAAACAATTGGGCCTAAACCTATCAATTATACCGTAATCCTAACTCCAAGCCCAATAAAAAAAAGTACTTTTTGTTATCCCAAAATTGAAAAGCACGCTTTTTTTTTTCTCTCGTTGTCAGGTAGGCCTTCTCTCTCTATTTTTTTATTTATTTAAAAAAAATGTTTTCTTCTCTCTTTCTTTTCTTCTTTTCTCACCTAGGGCTGTCAATAGATCGGAGATCGAGCAAATCCACCTATATCCGATCCGAAATAATAAAAAACATTGCAACCCGATCCAATCCAATAATCCGACGGATCCTAAACAATTAGATCCATATCCGATCTAATGGATTATCAGATATTGGATCTGATAATCCAATCCTAGAATTTTCCAAACGGAAACTAAAAGAACTCAAAATCGATCCACTGAGTGACCACCAAACAGTGCCATCGACTTTTCTAAGACCAGAGAGCATGAGAAGACAGTGAAAATAAACATAGAAAAAAAGGAGAAATGAAAGAGAAGATAGGAAACAATGAAAAAAGAAAATATGTATGAGAGAGAGAGAGAGAGAGAGAGAGAAGGAAAATGGAAGAAGATGAGGTTTGAGGAGTCATGGAAGAAAAGTGTAGAAGAGAAGAAAAAAAAATGGTTGGTTGCTACTGCTAGCGAAAAATGGGGTATGTATTATTGTTTGTTAGGGTTAAGAAGAAAAGGAAAGTGAAAAATAAAATAAACAAAACGAAGAGGGAGAGAGAGATCAGAAATAAATTAAGCAATAGATAAATAAATAAATAAAGGTAGTTTTAATTGTTTGAGGAGAAGAGAGTTGGATAATCATAAGAGAGAGAGAGAGAGAGAGAGAGAGAGGTAGGTGTGGGCTAATGTGCACATGGAGTAATAGGCACAGACATAGTGTCCATCTTCACACAAATTTTGATGTATATTATATAAATATAAATATAAATATATAATTGGATCGAATCATTATCAAATAGGATTATGTCACATCCAGATCTGTCCCGTTAACTAAACTGGTTAACAGATTTGGTACATAATTGGATGATCAGATTTTACCACTAGATCCATCTCCTATTAATTGCATCGAATTTGGATCAGATTCAGAACAAGATTCGACCTATTGATAGCCCTACTCTCACCCTAGCCATCAGCTGCCTTCTCTCTCTCTCTCTCTCTCTCTCTTCTCTCTCTCTCTCATGCTTCTATTCTCTCTCTCTCTCTCTCCTGAGGAAAACCCTTGCCGCTACTATTACTTCTTCTTCTTATCTTCTTCCTCTCTGAAAGTTGAGAAACCTAGCAAAAGCTTATAATGAGTTGGGCTACTCTCCCTATTGCCAATTGGTTTTGGGTTGGAACCTCAACTTCCTTCATGGTATCAAAGTAAGGCTTCACGTGTTGGGCCCAACGGCCACACGTGCTCCCACATCACCCAATATGTGTTGTCCACGTGTTAGGCTTGAAAGTTCGCCACACGTGCGGGGGCGTGTTGAGAGTGTTTGTCCCACATTGAAATGTTAAGGGACCTAACCTGGGTTTATAAGGAGTTGGGCTACTCCCCCCATTGCCAATTGGTTTTGGGGTGGAACCTCAACTTCCTTCTTATTTTTCTTTCTGTTTCTTACTCTCTTTTTATGCATCGATTGGATTTGTTTTGGTCTTTTATTATGAATCTTGGAATGTCAATTTTTGTTTCTTGGTTCAAAGAATGGTTTGCTGGATAGATTCTTTCTCTTTTATTTTTTGGTATCTTTTGGCTAAGAAGGTTCAAATCTAGTTTTTCTTGAACGGTTCGTCGATTTGCTCCATTGCTTTTTGCGGAAGCGTTGTTGGTTGCGTTTGTTTTCTAATTGATCTTCATCTACAATTATTATAATTATTTTTTTAATTTTCATTATTTATCTATAAAGGAAAAAAAAAAATTATCAATTGGCCTTAGAGGTCTAAATCAAAAAAATCGAAACTGAATTGGATCTAAATTGGTTTGGGTTGGTTTGATTTAGTTAATAAATTTTTATTTGAACTGAATTAAACCAAATTAGATGAACAGTACAAATACCAATTTAAATTTTGGATGTAAACCGAACCAAACCAAAGCGTGCACACCTCTAATTTGGTGTGCAAATCTCATATTAAATTTCTAGTAGCAGTTGCGGAGTTGTAATTTCCACCGTTGGATGGAAACAAAGGCTTAGATTTAAGTGCAAATCTCAGCCCATTTTGAGTGAACATGACCCGCTTGAAGACAGGGACCCAAGTAAAACATCAGGTTTCCGATTGCCCTAACCCGCTTATTTTTTTGGTTCGAAATCCCTAACCCGCTTCAACAGAGAGACCCAAGCTTCCCTTAAATTTATTTTTTTTTTTTTTTTTTTTTTTTTTTTTTTTTTTTTTTGCTCAAATTTCTCAGTTTGTTACTTCAAATTTGAACCCTCTTGGATATTTTCATCTTCACTCTTCGTCTGCAAGAACCAAACCACTGGCATTTTTCATAAACCCGCTTCAGTCAAAGGAGGTTTATTCAGCATAAGGAAGGTACATATTTCTCCATTTTTCAGCTTGCTATGGTGTACTGACGTCGTCACGAGGACTTGGTTTTTGTTTTGTTTTGTTTTTTCTTTCTTTTTAATTTAGATGATGGTGCATTTTTGGTTGAACTAGTTCTTCGGTTTGTTTGTTAATTGTAAATTTGGAATTGAAAAAGGCATTTAATTTAAGAGACATCGATAATTACTTATCTTGAATTCTCTTGTTTTGGCTTCTGGTTTTTCCCAGTTGTCGAAAACTTTGACTCTCAGGTTTTGTTGTCAACCCACTATTTATTTGCTGCTGCATTCACTCATTATTTGCATTTCTCTATCTTTTAGGATTAGGGTTAGGGTCAGTTCTTCGATTTGGGGCGACAATGATGTACCCTGATCCTCAACAGCAACACCACCAACAGCAGCATCAGCATCAGCAACAGCAACATCAGCAGCAAGGTGGAGAATTTCACAGGGGCCCCCCGCCGCAGGCGCCAATGATGCGTCAGCCGTCGGCCTCTTCAACTAATATGGCCCCAGAGTATCACCACCCATCTGGCCCCGCTCCTCCTCTTCCTCCTTACGATGGTTTGTTCCAAATTATGCCTCTTGGCTTTCTTATTTTGGTTTTGTTCTGTTTGGTTTCTAGGAAAACGGAAAGGAAAAGAAAATAAAAGAATTTCAAATGTATGGAAGTGTTTTACCATGTGGAGTCAAGTATGTTAGGAAATCCTAGAAAAGATTTTGGTTGCATTTTACTTCTTTTATTGACTGGGGTTTTCAACTTTGAAATTTACATCTTTAAAGTACACGGTTTTGAAGAAATGAGTTGTAAATTAGACCCCTAGACCTGATTTTGGATCCTGAAGTTTTTATATTGGCAATTTACAAGGGTGTGCCAGTGAGGTTGAAGGTGTAAACGATGGTTGGGAAGTGGCGGTAGAATTTTGTTAGAAGTTTAGTGTAGATTATGATTTTTCTGTTTCTTTCTTAATGGACTACAAATGAAATGTCTGTTGCAGCTCATCCTGATGGTTTTGCTGCAAAAAGGATGAGAAAGCTTACCCAGAGGAGAGCAGTTGATTACACTAGCACTGTGGTGCGATATATGCAGGTGAAGTTGAATTGTTTGCATTATATTTTGGTTTTTCTTTCTTTAAACCTTCCTGCAGTTATCATTTCAGCAAGTCATCATCCTCGAATCTTAACATTTTATGTTATCTGGCCCAGTGTATCTTTACATTTTGCTGAAATCCTACAATACACGTCTTTTTTCTACTTAAGGAAAGGTTTTAAGATGACCATGATTTATATATTTGTAGCTAATTAATTTCTGGGGTTGCTCTTGGTGCTCTTGGTTATAGTTGAATAAGTTCATACTGACTCTATTTTTTTCCTTCTCTGTTTATAAAAAAACAAGATTTAACTAATAAAATGGAAATTTACATAATAGGGACAGGGTCTTCCATGATTTAGATGTCAGTATAACAACACTCAATAACTTCAAACCAACAAAAAAAAATCAGTGAAAGCATAACAAGATCTAAGAATGAGCTGCTCTCCAATCTGGAAAAAAGCTCTTCTCCCACAAATAATCCATCTCCTCCTCCCTGACATCATAAAAATCTCTCCTGTTCCATTCCATCGATATTATTAGAAGCTTACAATCATAGCAGATATTCCTAGAACCACACTTCTATTCCTCCCACTTAAGAACTTAAGCCTTGCAGAAAATACAGTATCACTTGAAGCTGGAATAACCCAGCACAGATTGGGCTTCTTTAACAACCTTAACCTTAAAAAATAATCCAACCGGCAATGAAGCACTCTTTGCGTTCCTTTTCTGCACAGAACACAACACTGGGGAAAAACAACCAAATGTGTTTTATGTTCTTTAGATGTTGGCATCACTAACCTAATTGCATTTCATGTCTCTATTCGTACATGTTGGTTCTAAGTTGACTACCATCTCACATGTGGTGGTCATGCTATCTCTTTCCGTATTCTGGTGGTGTAGATTAGACATGTTGTATAATGTTCTAATCTATCCTGATCTCATATGTTTGTCAGAACTTCAGAAGTTATGATACTATGTTTAAGTATTGTATGTCAGGAATTTCCTTGTTTTGCAGCATTCAAATTATTTATACTGCCCTTTTTCAAATGTTATGAATAATATGCTGTCAACATGGACCCACATGTGCACCCTTTTTTCTTAGAAAACTGACAAAATTATATTAAAGAAATTTTTTAGAAACCAACCAAACTAAATGCCTAAACAGGGTTTCCTTAGAGAGCCTACAAAGTCAGGGCAGCAAGCAGTATCACAGAACTTACAGTAATGACCCAACCACAGAACAACCTCAGCAGAACCCTACGAAGTACAGAGCGGAACAGCAAACATCGCAGTAAAACTTAAAAAAAAATTCTAATGTAGATGTCAACCTCACAAAACATCAGTACACGTGTGTTCTTTGGATATATCTATTTCATTTTTATATGTAAAGAGCCCTGAAAGATTCTGGTTGCCATTGTCTCTTAGTCTTGCAAATTTATATTGGTGATTGAATATCTTAAAATTACATATCATTGTTTTCCAGATTCGAATGTGGCAGCGTGATGCAAGGGATAGGACGGTATTGCAACCTACACCAGCAGCAGCAATTGATGTGAGTGGTCCTTTATTATTTATATTATATTTTCTTTGTGCATAAAATATGGTTTACTGGAAGCATGATGTTAGTCTAATTTTGGTCTGAACCTGGTGCATGTGTTCATTTTACTTGAATAGTTTGCCCTTTTGGTGTAGATGTTGCCGACAGTTGCCTATTCAGATAATCCCTCCACTAGTTTTGCTGCAAAGTTTGTACATACGTCCTTAAACAAAAATCGTTGTTCGATTAATCGGGTCTTGGTAAGTTACATACGATCCATTTTTGGTCAGAAGTACATTTAAATCCTCTCTCTATGTGTGTGTTTATGTATTTATGTTTTTCCAACCATTATGCATTGAGCATATTGATGTTTCTTTTTTGGAGTTTGAAGTTATATTGTTGTGTGACTTATGAACAGGTCATTATTATTATTATTATTATTATTATTATTTTGTTTCGGAAAGTGTGGTATTTGGGAATCTCCCATTTGTAGGGAGGTGTGTGGCTACCAGCTGGGCTATGACCCAACCACTTTTGAGCAATAATTAATCTTATTGTTTAGCTGTTGGATTGGCATTTGAAATCAATGACATGTAGACCCCAGTTGGTTTGAAAGGCTTTGTACTGGTTTCCAAGTTTTTACGTGTTGGACAATTATACATGCTACTGTCTTGGTTGCATAGACAATAGCTAATATAGTAACATCACTTGCTATTTTCTAGGGTTCAAATGTATTCCATCACACTATTCTCTACCACTACAATGAAAGGAATATTTAAAGGGGTAGTGGGTAAACTTTTCATTCCATTATTTTTCATATATACATTAATTAGGCCCAACTGTTTTATTGGGCCATGAGCCGGGCAAAACGTTATTTTAAGTGTTCTCATATAGTATTGGGTTATGATGTCGAACTTGTTTGGGTGATAATAGGATTTTCTGATGTTACTTTATTGTTTTTAGTTGAGCTATCATTCTAAATTTGGCTGACCCCCCCTCTTTTTTCAAAGTGGACTCCTACAGGGAGACGTCTTATTACCGGCTCTCAAAGTGGGGAATTCACTCTTTGGAATGGACAATCATTTAACTTTGAAATGATTCTTCAGGTTAATAATTATAGATATTAATTTTTTTTTCTAAATTACAGTTATGATGGATGTCAGAATGAGAGTCTTTTATATTTTCATTAATTCAATTTGTAGGCGCATGATCAAGCAATCAGGTCTATGGTATGGAGTCATAATGACAATTGGATGGTCTCTGGTGATGATGGGGGCTCAATAAAGTAATTAGAATTACAGATAATTTCAATTGTTAAGAAGTTTTAAAAAAATAAAAATCATAATAAACCTAACGTGTTCTTGCATATGGGTGTACTTTTTAGGTATTGGCAGAACAACATGAATAATGTGAAGGCCAATAAATCCGCTCATAAAGAATCTGTTCGTGATTTAAGGTAAGTGTTTACATATGTGTATTTTTCTTCATTCTGCTCGAGGCATGTCTTAACTGCCCCTTTTTTACAGCTTCTGTAAGACTGACTTGAAGTTCTGTTCCTGTTCTGATGATACTACTGTTAAAGTTTGGGATTTTGCACGTTGTCAAGAAGAGCGCACATTGACTGGTAAAGTGCTTTGACCACACAACAGATATGGAATGAGCTTGTTGACCCTAATTCGGTAGCTCAATGCCATACTGTACTGATTTATTGATATGTTATCTGACTATAAAAAATATGCAATACCTGCCTTTTTTTCCCTTCATCCAAAAGTTCTGAACACATGAACATCCACTTTCTATGTGAGTTCATCTTTATTTATTTAGTGATGAAGACGCAGATCCCTCAGTATCCTTGAGAGGAGGTTAGATTTAATATCTAACACACCTTCAGCAGCTTTTCCATAATTGGTAGCCCTTGGTGTATTCCAGAATTTATCTATTTTTGTCAGTTGAATTGGAATGTTGTGCTAGAAACTACACTTTATTTTGAAGTGTTACGTTGTTTGTGGGGATTCCTTATGATCTGCGTTACAAATTATGACATCCCATTAGACTGGTGTTGGTTGAGACTTTGTCTGTTTATTTATGTTTAGTTTTCTTGAAAAGTTATTTATTTAACCTGGGTTGTGTAGGACATGAGATATTTTATATCACCAAGTTAAATGTATACCATGTCTGGTTGAAAATCACAAGTTTGTGAACTAAGGGTTAGGTTAGGGTGGCTTTGATTAACATCATTTGGATATACAAGCATGTTGTGTTATCAGTTTTAGGGATACTTTTAGGTCTCTTAGTAGTGTACTTTATTGAGTTCAAAGCATAAAGTCTATGAACAGGTTATTTTAGTTTCATAATTGCATTAAGCGTTCTTCTTTAATAAATTTTGACATCATGCTCTTGGGGTTTGCATGCTTAAGAAGTGCATGGAGTAACCTTAGAATTTCTCTATGTGGTTTGAACTCAGGCAGGCCATGGTTGGGATGTGAAGAGTGTTGACTGGCACCCTACAAAATCTCTACTAGTTTCAGGTGTTTGCAACAATTCTCTTCTGAGTTTATATTAATATCTTTTGAAAGTTAAGTCTTTGACTATTTATTTCATATAATTGGTTTGTACTTAGGTGGGAAAGACAATCTTGTCAAACTTTGGGATGCTAAGTCAGGGCGAGAACTCTGTTCATTGTAAGTAGAGAAATATGGCACTTAAACCTATAAGTTAGTTTTATTAGTTGAAAATCTTTATAGATGTTATGCATGTTTTTGCAGTCATGGCCACAAAAATATGGTGCTCTCTGTTAAATGGAACCAAAATGGTAACTGGGTGCTAACGGCTTCCAAGGATCAAATCATTAAGGTTGGTGGCCAATTTTTCGCTCCTCAGCTATCACATGAGTTGATATGGGATTTTTTGTCCTCGGAAATTTATAATTTTCCTCCCATGGCTGATGATATTGTTGCACCACATGCTCTCAGGTTTATGACATAAGGGCTATGAAGGAACTTGAATCTTTTCGTGGCCATCGAAAGGACGTGACTGGTTAGTGAAGTTTCCTCTCATATCACCTAAGCCTACTTTATCTTTTCTTATAATTAGTAGGTGCCACGTTCAATGTGTCTGCAAAACTATTATTCCAAAGCCCCAGTTGTATTATTAGTTTAGTAGAAAATTTCTGTCTGCAAAACTTCCTCCTTCTGTCTTTATTATGCTCATGCCTAGAGCCATTGGTGGGCCAAAGTTATCGCACTCATTATATTTGTTAAGGTTTTGTATGAGTATAATGCTTATGGTTACCATTCTTTGAAATTTTTATTAGCTCTGGCTTGGCATCCGTTTCATGAAGAATATTTTGTCAGTGGGAGTTTTGATGGATCCATTTACCATTGGCTTGTTGGGTAAATTCTATTCCTTAAATCTAGTACCCTTCTATGGGTTTATTCTTCTTTGGGTCAGCATTATAGAATAGTTTACACTCATGTCTTTCATTCTTTACAGTTTACCCATCAGAAACGGGGAAAAAAAGAGAAGAAGAAAGTTTTTTTCAGTTTCTTGCCTGATTTAATTCTTAATACACAAGTGAATATTCACGAACCTATTATTTTTGCCTTGTTTTTGGTGCAATATGTAATGTATTTTCAAGAAGGAAATGAACTTTGTACAAAGTAAGGAAACCTGTTAAATAACCCGCCTTCTAGATCTTGTTCTTTGATGTAACCAACGGCAATAGACTAAACTGGCAAATATTAAAACACTTAGAAACACACAAGAATTATACTGGTTCGGCAGAACTTTTGCCTACGTGCAGTTGTGATTTCTCTAGGTAGAGAAATCACCGCGCCTTTGATTAATAATGGAGATTACAGAACTTTTGCAACCCTAGAACTAATCTCAAAAACTCTTGGCTGTCTCTGGCTGTTTTTTCCTCTCTAAAAATAAGCCTTGCCACACCCTATTTATAGATATAGAGTTGGCTTACATGTTCCAAGGCTGATTGGATTCCTATTCCTAAGTGGATTAGGAAATTACACTTATCCAAATCCTAATAGACTTCTAGAAATCCAAACCTAAATTGAATAAGGAAAACTGAAATTCTTTCCTAATCCCTCTAGGACAAGAATTGGTATACCTCTAATTTTCCTAAAACAATCCTAAACCAACTAGGACATATTTGACGAGCCAAAATCCTAACAATCCCTCATAAAATGATGGTGCAACCATGTGAATCTAATTACCGATATGCTGATTGCAAAACTGTATTGCATTCTCCATTGCCTTTTGGATGACTGGAGAAAAATGACTGATGCTCATAGCAAGTTTTCAGTATTGGTAGTCCTTTTTTTGTGTGTGGAAGTTTTTATAGTTCTTGTATCTGAAATTAAATTTATTTTGATGCACAGGCATGATACTCCCCAGGTTGAAATTCCTAATGCACATGATAACAGCGTGTGGGATCTTGCATGGCATCCTATTGGTTATCTTCTCTGCAGGTATGTTTTACTGCTCTTCATAGTGTATTATCCCTTTCATTATTAAGACCTACCCCGTTTTGAACAGTTTTGTTGTACATGTGAAGATCGGCAAAAACTGGTGGAATGCTCTCTAAACAATTCACTTTAAGAAGAGTTTTATACTTATAAAATGATCTTCTATGGTGGCCTAATTTTGCAAACTTATTTTGAAAGATATGATCTTTAGCCATCTGATTAAGGCATGCAATTTTTGACAGAGCACTTTGTCTTATGATATAGTAGTAGACCCCGAGATGCTCCGATTTTTTTTTTTTTTTTTTTTTTTTTTTTTAATGAATTTTAAGGGAACTAATCATAAAGGAAACCAGCTGAAGAGTTGAAGCTTATTGAATTACTAAAGAGGTTGTTGGCTAGAGTTTGTCCTTAATTACTTTGCTAGGCATCAGCTATGGGATGCTGTTGTAAAAGAATTTATAAATGTAAACTTTTATTCGAAAAAGGAGCAGAACACGTCCAAATGTAAGTTTGTTTCCTTATAGTATCGTAATTGACATGCAACCATTGTAGAATTTAGATCAAGTGGAGTAATGCATTTGGAAACCATGTGGTTTGTCAGAGGGATGTTTGTGGTATATGGAAATTCTTTGTGCCCTGGATTGTCACACACAATTCATGGATTGGCTCTTATTGGTTCAGCTTTGAGTTTTGTATTCTCTACCTTTACCGAAGTCCAAATTCTTTGTAATGATTGGACTTTGGCTAGAAATGTCTAATGTTGGGGTAAGGACCAACAAAAGGACCACCTAAACCTATTTACTTTTGGCAAGTTGCATGTCCAAATTGAACTTCCTACCTGTAAGCATAGGCATCTTGATGTTTTGGATTTGTTATATGGAATAATATTAGTACGCTTTCAACAAGATTAGCAATGGCTTCATTCACTTGTATGTTCTTCTGCAGTGGTAGCAACGATCACACTACGAAGTTTTGGTGCAGAAATAGGCCGGGAGACACCGGTCGTGATAAATTTAACATTGGTCAGAATCAAGGTTGTACTTTGCCTAACCCAAAATCTAAATGTGAAAACTATGTAGTTCGTTATCTTATCAAATAGAATGTTATTTTAAAAGTATACCCAGTTTCACCCGTGCAGCAGCAAGCATGGTAAATGTTCCCCTTTATGGGTATTTTTGTGATTTCATAAATAATTAATATGCCAGCATACTTGGATGTATATCCGAAATTTGGATTTATTCTGCTCTAAGTGCTTCATACTAGGGGTATATATATATATGTGCACTCACTCAAAAACCCACCCAATTGAGGTGGATGTGGCCCAACTTGAGCAAAGCATCAATGCTACTTTTATTTCTCGCAGGTTTTGGTGAGCAGAACCCTGCTTTTGGTGGTCGCATGACTGGTAACTTTCCAGTACCTGAAGGACCACCAACTCCAGGACCATTTCCTCCTGGGTTGACTCGAAATGAAGGAACAATTCCAGGTGTTGGAGTTGCTATGCCGTTATCTCTTGATGCATCAACTCAGGGAGAGCAACAGCAACCTCATGCACTTTCAATGCCTTTAGGGGCTCCTCCTCTCCCTCCTGGTCCACACCCCTCTCTTCTTGCTTCTAATCAGCAGCAACAATATCAGCAAAATCCTCAACAGATCCCACAACAGCAACATCAACAACACCAAGCTCACCCACAGCAAATGCCCCCTATGCCTATGCCACCTCCAAATATGCCACATCTACAGCCTCCATCCCATTTACCGTTGCTGCCCCATCCTCATTTACATCGCCCGCCACCCCAAATGCCCTCACTCGGGATGCCATCATCAGTGCCTGGATCCTTGCCTATGCCTTCATCAGTTCCTACCTCACATTCAATGCAAATGGTATGTTTTTTCTTCTCACAGAATTATTTAATTACTTTATTCACCTGTTCTCATTATATAAGTTGGATCCACCAAGGGGGATTGCTTTATAAGTTAGAGATTCTTATTTGAAGTAAGAACTAGGGAAGGTTGCTTCACAATCCGTTTGGCTTGCTTACAATTCAAAAGTCAGCCTTCCCTCCATGTTTATTGCCAAAGCTTCAATTAAGAAATGGGAAAATTTTAAATTATGTCCCTGAACGTATACACGTGTTTCAATTTGTCACCTTTAAAAAATATATAATATATGTAGAGATGTCAATCTCAATTTTTAAAAATTTCTAAATATGTCACTTGACACTGACTCCATCCAAAATTCTGTTAAAAATTGTCATTTACTGTGCACATGCCTCATACTGTATGGTGTTTTAGTAATTTTACTAATGAAAAATTTTTAAAAATTTAAAAATCTTAAAAACATAAAAGCTTTCAGAAAATAATTTTAAAAAAAATCCCAATTCCCTTCTCCGACATCCCCAGCCACCTCGCTCTCCCTCCTCCTCCCTCCTCACCTCCCCAACCATCCATTGAACCACCTCCAAAAGCCAGACTTGAGGTTGACCTAGTACTAATGCAATTAGTTATTTTCTTCTTAACAATGGCCATCATCAGCACAATATCTCACCCTCTGCTCTGCACCCTCTGCTGCACAATCCCTTCAACCAAACCCTCCCTTAGTTCTCACCCTAAGACCCAACTGTGCACACCAAGGCTGGTTTTAGCAGGCATTGTTCTCATGTCCATTCCATATGTGATGTCTAGGTTGGGAAGGGGTGGGTGCAGGGAAAGGGGGTTGGTGTGGGTGGGGGAGAGAGGTGGCTGCGGATGTCGGGGATGGTTAGGAGAAGGGAATGGGTTTTCTTTTCTGAGTTTTTTTTTATAATGTTTTTATTTGTAATATTACTGAAATATACTTGGAGGATGAGCATAGGGGGTTGGCATGGGTGGGGGAGTCAGGTAGCTATGGATGTTGGGGATGGTTTGGGGAAGTTTTCTTTTGTTCTTTTCTGAATGTTTTTTATGTTTTCATTTGTAAAAGTACTGAATATTCTTGGATGATGAGGATGTGCATGCCATATGACGATTTTTAATAGAATTTTGGGTGGAATTAGTGTCAGGTGATATATTTAGAATTTTTAATGTTTAGGAGAAGGGAATGGGTTTTCTTTTCTGAGTTTTTTTAATGTTTTTATTTGTAATATTACTGAAATATCCTTGGATGATGAACGTAGGGTGTTGGCGTGGGTGGGGGAGTCAGGTAGCTATGGATGTTGGGGATGGTTTGGGCAAGGAATGGGTTTCCTTTTCTTTTGTTCTTTTCTGAATGTGTTTTATGTTTTCATTTGTTAAAGTACTGAAATATTCTTGGATGATGAGGATGTGCAAGCCATATGACAATTTTAATAGAATTTTGGGTGGAATTAGTGTCAGGTGATATATTTAGAATTTTTAAAAATCGATATGACATCTCTCTTAGCTTTCTTAAGAGCATCTACAATCATGCTCCTTATTTTTTAGTTAAAATTTAACTAAAAATACACAAAAGTTATTTTAGGAGCTCTTTATTAAATTTGAACTCAAATCATACTGCCTAGTTTAGGGAGTCATAAATACTATAGTTATTTTTTATTTCTATGATTGGTCCATATCTATAAAAAAATAATATAAAAAAATAGTTAGCATTAATTAAAAGTTTAAACTTTGCATAAAACAAAGCATCATTAAATTATAAGGAGCCACTAGGAGTCTTTTCTCTCTCCTCAGATATAAAAAATAAGAGCTCCTAGAGGTCTCCCTATTTTAGGAGGTGGATAGGAAGCATGGTTGGAGTTGTATTTTTCCAATTCCTCCCAAAAATTTGTCCAAGGAGGTGGTTTAAGGAGACCATTGTGGATGCTTTAAGTGACAAATTGAAACTCTTAAGGCAGACCCTCCATAACATAACTAATGAAAAGGAAAATTCTAGTGTTATTAATTTTTTAAAAAATAAAAGAAACTTTCATTTGCAAATCTTATAATGGTAATTAACATTAGTTTGGTTCTTTAGGGAATGCAAGGTACAATGAATCAGATGGTTCATCCATTGCCGCAAGGTCATTACATGGGCATGAACCCAATGCACTCAGGATCCATACCTACAAGTGGAGCATCTGCACCTATTGGAGGTTTTGCAAATGGTATGCCAAACATGCAGGGCCCATCAAATGCAAGTGGAGGCCAAATGTATCCTCAGGGTGGCGCCTTTAATCGGGGTCAACCTGGACAAATTCCAATGCATCCAGGGTATAATCCCTACCAGGTAAGACAGAATTATATGTACCTCGATGCACTGCAGACTATTAAAAATCTGTGGTAGAGATTTTTCATAAATTTCAACATTACTCAGCTGAAGCTTTTGTGTTCTTGTCTTTGCTTATTGCAGACTAGGGGTCAGTCTGGTATGCCTCAACCTCCACCAGGTCCGCCACCGCATGGGCAAACACCTCAGTAGACCATTTTCTATCCGACTTCACTTATCTAGGCCCCCCTCCCCTCTTCTTCTCTCCCCCTCGTTTCAGGACAGCGTGTTTGTATGTAAATCCTCACCTTTGCCTTATAGCTTTGTTTGTACTTTAGCATAGAAGTGACACATTGAGATGGCTTTGTCGAGCAAACACAAGAAAATTGCACGAGTTATCCGGAGTGACTGGGCGTAAAGTGTCCATAGTATGTCCATCAAATTTCAGGGCTAACCCTGGGCAGACAGTGGAAGCTACAAACTAGAGTACCGAAAATTGTCGTCTGTTCAATTTTGTTATTGTTATGTACGTCGGCCTAGAATTGACTCATTGAGATGGCTTTGGTTAAGCAGCAAAAATCATTTAAATTCCCGTATGCTCTTTTTGGTTTTATTGTTACTTGGTAGAAGCAACGGCGCGGATGCTTTCTTCTGTCTTAAGAAATGAAAGCTCCGGCGCTTCTTATGACAAAAAAAGCATGCACATCTTCTGATCAGTAAAGATGTTGAGGTTGGCCTTAATTAGCACAATGCTTCTTTCTGGAGAGAGATGTTTGCCATTACCGCTAGGAATTGTGGTTTACCTTTGAAATGGGGAACAGTTGTTTTGAAAATGACTCATTTGATATTCGAATTAATTTCCTTTTTCTTTAATGTTGAAGGTAGATCCTTTGTTCGTAATGAAATTTACAATGCGTATCAGAATTCAAGTACCAAACGTGATTATCAAAAGGCAGAACAAATAAGTTATCATTCTTATCAATCATCAACTAATCTTGACCTCCCTTCCGTACAAATAAGTACAACGAAGAAATTTTACATACAAAATCACATTTTTGGATTTAGTGAAAGACCAGAACTAATTTTACACAAAACCGCTGCTCAGAGGATATCCCAAAATTTCAAAATTTTGAAGCATCTTGGGTTGCTCCTCTTCAGACAAAGTTTGAAGTTTGTCACATTCTGACATCTCCAGATTATCAAGAGAGATGAGATTGAGTCTTTTGGGAAGGAATTCAAGATTTGGCAGTCGCTGAAGTTGAAGAGATGATAAACTGGTAGGCAACAACCAATCCTCTGGAAAGGACACCAGCCCTTGACAACCACCAAAGGCGAGGCTGTTGAGACAAGTGAGTCTGTGCAGCCCCCACTCAAATGAAGGCTTGAAATTCTCACAGTCCAAGATCGACAGCGACGATAGATTGGTTGGTAATCCACCCTCTGGAAATGACACAAGATTAGAGCAACTCTCTATGCATAGTTCTTGAAGGGATGTGAGGCTGTGCATATGATTTGGTAGGGACTTGAGGCTTCCACAACCAGAAATTTTAATTGATTGCAGCATGGAGTTTGGCAGGCCAAATTCCGCGATAGACTGGAGAAGTGGACACTCAGTAACTTCCAAGTGATGGAGATGCTTGAGGTTGTGTAGGCCCTCAGGTAACAACCGGAAGTTGTCGCAGTTGTTGATGATGAGCTGTTTAAGGTTCATGACCATTGCAGATGTTACTGCAGGGAGACCGAAAGTACCTTTCGGAAAGGAGGTAACAGAATGACACCCGGAAATCTTTAGAATTTCAAGACAAGTGTTGTTGTGAATCATATCCTTGGGAAGGCACTCCAAGTTTATGCAATTTCGAATTTCAAGTTGTTTAAGTGTACTAGGAAGCTCTCCTCTTGGGAAAGACTTCAGAGAAGAACAATCTTCAATTACCAGATACTCGAGTGGAAACAACAACTTGTTACTGTTTTGCATCTTCCACTCAGGTAAGAATTGTAATGCCTCACAACCCTTGATCTCAAGGCCTCTAAGCATGGATGGCAAGCCTGTTCCAGGAAAAGACAAAAGCGAGGAACATCTCGAGACTTTAAACTCCTTGAGAGACGACAGTTTGTGCAAGCATTGTGGCAGCTCATGTAAGAATGGACATCCTAAAATTTCCAAGCGTTTGAGGTGCAATAGGTTGGGAAATCCAATCTCATTAGACAAAGTGGTAATCTCGCTGAAATGTGCAATCTGCAACTCTTCAAGAGCCGTCAAGTGTTGCAGAAACCCTTCAGGTAGACATGGTATCTGTGGAATTTGATTCAAATGCAAGTAGGTAACTGAGGTAAGTCCAACTATATTTTGTAGTACCCCCTTGTTGCACTTTTCAAATTCCAACTCCCGGATTGAAGGAGTTTGGGCAGTTCTGCTAATTCTTGACATTCATTTATCTCGAGTACTTGCAGAGAAGGAAAGAGGCTAGGTAACTCCTTCAAGTTGGGACATGTCCATATAGAAAGTTCGCGGAGGTAAGGGAATTCTGTGCCTTTTTCTAAGCTGTCGTAAGCTCTTGAAAGGTTTGGAAGAGCAATCAATTCTTCACAGCACTTAATTTTCATTTCCCTCAAGGCAGAAAAGTGTTGTGAGAACTTTCTTAGCTTTGGACAGTTTAGAATTTCAATCTTCTGCAGGTGACAGAAGTCTTCCCTGCCTTCAACCCCAGAGGATGACCAATCCTCCCAGTTTATCATGTTGTCAAACTTTAGAGTCTCCAATGACGGAAATGGAAGGATAGGAGAATTACAGTCACCATAGAACTCAGGTCCTATACTTTTTATCCCCTCCATTCCTTCAACAATGAGGTCTTTTAGTGAAGGTAGTTGTCCAAGTGCCGGTAGTTGCATACACTTCTTACAATCACTAAACTTTAAAACTATGATATTAGAGAACAATGGAGACTCAATCCAACCAGGAAATCTTGTGCCTCCGTAGTCTTTGATTGTAACTCCTTTTATATTTTTATGAGGTTGAAGCATCTCAAGGACAACCATTTCAACTCTTTCATTTCTTGAATCATCCAAATTCCTCTGTCTCAATCTGAACTCAATGGCTTCTTGATTATAAGCATCCATGGTTTCCTTAAAACTTGGAAATCTTGCAACACTTTGACCTCTGATGCTGAGATCTTCTGGGTTGCTATGCAGTTGTGGCATGTCACTCCATTGGAATACCAAGTGTTCAAGTTCCTCCTTTCCCTTCATATTAGCCTCCATTGCATCTACAAAATTTACAACATTCTGTAGTCCAGAAATGAGAAGTGATCCCTTAAGTTGCAGCATGTCCCTCAAGTCTCTAATTCCCCATCCACTGTCTCTGCGCACCATAAACTTAGACAAGGTCTGGAGATTCTTCAGTCTACACATTCGCGGTGGCATCTCTTTTAATCTGCTTCCAGTAATATGAAGATGACGTAGGCTTGTTAGGTTCCCCATCTCTTCTGGCAACTTAGTGAGAGAGCGGCATTCCACTAATAACAAAGTTTGTAAATTGCAAAGCAAACTTATTGAATCAGGCAACCTTTCAATTGCAGTGCGAGAAAGGTCCAGATAACGTAGATGTTTTAAATTTCCTATTGTATCTGGCAATTCAGTAATACGACAGGCATTGAAAGACAACACTCGTAGATATCGTAACCTTGGCAGCAGATCACAAGGAACTTTATTAGCCAAATAGCTGACTCCAATTCCATCAGTTGGATCAAATGAAAGGAAGGTGCGTAAGTACTCAAGTCTTCTGAAGGACTCAAACCTTGTAGTTACCTCACGCTGATGACGAATATATGAAGAATGACGAGCCTTCTCAAACGCTTCACTCTCCTTTATCTTATCCTCCAACCTGAAACAAAATTCTCCATAAACAAATTGAGCTAGCTCTTTCATGAGGTTGTGCATTATAAATCGTGATGTATCATGAATTGATTGTTGAAAGAATGATCTGGATACCAGCTCCTGAAAATACTCACAGCCAACAGCTTCCAATTTTTTATTTCCTTTAGGTTGCTCAAGAAAACCTTCTGCCATCCATAACAAAACAACTGAATCCCTGTCAAATTCAAATTCCATTGGGAACAAGGAACAATATGCAAAACACGGCTTCAGATGTGCAGGAAGGTGATTGTAGCTTAATCTTAAAGTTTGAAGGATGTTACTTTCATCATCTGGTAGATCCCATATTTTCCTACTCAATATGTCTTTCCATTCATCTTCTTCCATTCTAGGATGCAATAGGATTCCAAATCTTTTCACTGCCAAGGGCAAGCCATCACACCTTTTGACAATCTCCTTACCGATAGCCTCAAAATTAACATCTACGATTCTATTCTCAAATGCTTGACTCCTGAACAATAACCAACAATCCTCAAATGACAAACCTCTTAAATTGTGAGCTCGAACCGTACCCATGCTTGATGCAACATCACTATTCTGTGTTGTTACTATTATCTTGCTTCCACTTTTTCCTGATTTCAATGGAATCCACAAGAGATCCCAATCATTATTTCTCTTGTTCCAAACATCATCCAAAACAAGCAAGAATCTCTTTCCAGCCAATTTTTCTTTCAAACAAACTTGAAGTAGATTCAAGTCATCAAGATCTACTTTTTCTGTACTCACTGACTCCAGAATTGTTTTTGTCACCCTCACTGCATCAAAATGATCAGATACAAACATCCAAATTCTCAAATCGAAATGCTCGTCCACTCTATCATCGTTGTAAACTAATTGAGCAAGAGTTGTCTTGCCAATACCACTCATCCCAACTATAGGAACTACACCAACTTTACTACTAGTTGGTTCATCACATAACAGAACTCGAATTATCTCCTCTTTATCACAGCTCCTGCCATAAACACACGATTCGTCTACCAAAGATGTTGTTGGTAATCTATTTCTAAAGCCAAACAACCTGCCTCCAACATTCTCTTTCAAACCCAAGACATTTTTATATCTGGCAATCAATTCTAGCCTCTCAATTATCTTTACCAATTATATTCTATCCCTCTACTAGATGGACTGAGAGAGGTGGAAATATGTTTCCAATTCCATACCTTATTTGTGGTGGCCTGAGATTCAGCTGCTATCTTACATGCCAACGCTTCGCTAGCGAGCTCATCTAGCATGTCCTCTGCATCATATAGAGCATCTTTGGTCATGTGCAGCCATTTTTGTACTGCATGGTTGTGAAACTGCTTGTCCTCAGCATCATGAAGCAAAGTAGTAACAGTCAGCAGAGTGACCTTCAACTTGTCCAGCATATCATCATATTTCCTGCCACATAGTAAGCCTACAAATTCATTGGAAGCCAATCTATCAAACAAAACTTGAAGAAACGCAGAGAGAAAGGCCTCTCCAATTGCCATGTTGCTGATGGTTTCTATATCCAGACCAGAGAGACCAAAGTAAAGGGAGAAGGCAAACAAAATTATGCAAGGGCATAATTAAAAGTTTTTTTTTATTCTTGGAACCAACCTGTCGTCTGCCAGTGACGACTTTTGAGTCAACAGGTGTGCAAATGTTTTTGCTAAATGGCATCTTTTAATAAAGATGGTGACCAAGCTCACCCCACAAACGGTAAACAAATGAAAAGCAAGATGCAAAGTAGATTTTGGCATATGCCTTCCCCATAAATTTATGTAGTAGTATCATAGAAATACCTTAAATTAGGGAATAGCGTATAAAAAAAAGTACTAAAAGGTTTTCTCCGTTGAGTCTTGAATTTTTACAATTTTTTTTTTAAATTATGGATTTTTTATTTTATTTTAATACAAATGATATTGGGGGAGGGTGATCCAAACACAGGAAGTCGGGTAATGGGTAACTACTCTTAACCACTTGAACTACAAATCTCTTAATTTCCCTTTCTAATTTTTGTGACACCTTTCCACACGCTTTTGATATTTATAAAAAGAAAGGGTTTTCAATTGCAATGATATCCTTTGATTAAAAAAAATTGCAATGATACTCGAGTTTCATTTTGAATAGTCACGCGGCTATACTATTTCTTTCTTAAAAAAGTAAGAAAAAAGGACCCTCATAGTTGCATTAATTTACACTTTATAGATATTAATTTGGTATAGCCACGTGGCTATACAAGTAAAATGCGTATGTGTTTTATTCGGCACAAGTTTGGCAAATTACAACTTAAAAGATCGGCCACTATAATATATGAGAATTATGTGTATAATATGTGATTTTTTTTTGTATTACTGAAAATTTTGTAAAAAATACGTGTATTAAAGATGAAAAATATGTACGTACATGTTCAATACGAGTGTTGTATGTTTGCTTTTTCAAAAATGTGAATTTTACTGAGTTTTTAAGACATTTACAAAGCACGGATGTATTATTAAAAAATAGGTACGTACGTGTATAATACTGTATTAAATGTGAAAATGCTAAATTCTTTATACGACTAATAACTCTAGAAAAGTTAAAAATCAAAAGGGGACAATAAAGACTCGGGTAATGGCCTAACAGTAATGGATAATGTTCTAAACTTCTCTTATCGACAAATGAAAATCGGAAAAAAAAAATATAAAAGAAAAAGAGGATCCCAGTATTTATATATAAAGCGTATAGCAGCGTGGCTGTATTCGGTAAATAGTACGGCCACACAGCTATACTAGTTTGAAAAATACGCGAGAGGCTATACTCATCTTTTCAATTTATTTAGTTTTAAAAATAGTATAGCCGCTTAGCTATTCTCGGTTTTTTATTTATTTTACTTATAAAATAGTATAGCCGGTCGGCTATACTCAGGTTCTTTTATTATTTAGTTTTTAAAATAGTATACCGTTCCGCTATAATCGTCTTTTACTTATTCAGTTTTTAAAATAGTATAGCCAGCTGGCTATACTCGTGTTTTTATTTATTTATTTATAAAATAGTACAGCCGTGGGGCGATACGCTTTTATTTATTTAATTAGTTTAAAAATAGTATACCCACACGGCTATACGCTTTATGTGTGTGTGTATATATATATATATATATATACTATTTCTTTTTTTTTTTTTTTTTTTTTTTTTTTTTTTTTTTCATTTTTAATTAATAGTAGTTTAGAGCATTATCCATTACTATTAGGGCATTCCTTGAGTCATTATCCCCTTTTGATTTTTAACTTTTCCAGAGTTATTACTTGTATAAAGAATTTAGCATTTTCACCTTTAATACTCGTATTATACACATAAGTAATTATTTTTTAATAATACATCCATTACTTATACACATCTTAAACACCCGGTAAAATAATATATATTAAAATATTATATAGTGGGCGAACTTTTTAGTTGTATTTTCCCAAAATTTTGAAGAATAAAACACATACGCATTTTTCACATTACGTATTACTAACTATTAATGAATTTAGTAGCACTCGAGAGAACGAGGTAAGATAAACAGACAAAATCCCACACACAAAAAAAAAAAAAAAAAAAAAAACAAAACAAACAAAAAAAAAAAAAAAAAAAAATTGAACTCTAACATTGATTTACTGTGAAATTTCTCTATCTTTAATGTATGCTTTAGATATATTTAAACTAGCAAATTAATATCTATAAACTAATGCAACTAGGAAGTTCCTTTTTTTAAAAATAGTATAGCCGCGCGGCGATACTTAGGTTTTATTTATTTATTTATTTATAAAATAGTATAACCGCATTGCCACACTCGTCTTTTACATTATTTATTTTTAAAAATTGTATAGCCGCACGGCTTGACTCTTTTATTTATTTATTTATAAAATCGTACAGCCGCGCGGCTATACTCAGGTTGTTTTATTATTTATTTTTTAAAATAGTATAGCCTATACTTTTTTGACACTTGGTTGCCTATTCCCTAGGTGCTAGCCGGCTTCTTTTATTATAAATATGTATATGGTATAGCCGGGCAACTGTACTCGTCTTTTTTTATTTATTTAGTTTTTATATTCTTGTTTGTTATTTATTTATTTATAAAATAGTATAGCCGCCCGGCTTTAATCGTTTATTTATTTATTTAGTTTTCAAAATATTATAGCCACACGCCTATATTCTTTATATATATTGGGATCTTTTTTTTCCCCAATTTTCGTTTTCCAATAATAGTAGTTTAGAGCATTATCCATTACTATTAGGGTATTACGCGAGTCTCTATTGTCCCTTTTTTATTTTTAACGTTTCCAGAGTTATTACTCGTATAAAGAAATTAGCATTTTCACCTTTAATACTCGCATTATACACATAAGTAATTATTTTTCAATAATACATCCGTTTTCTGTACACGTCTTAAACACTCGGTAAAATAATACATATTAAAATATTATGTAGCAGGCGAAATTTTCAGTTGTAATTTGCCAAAATTTTGAAGAATAAAACACGTACGTATTTTATTCATATTTTTTCAGTTCCGTATTTTACTAACTATGAATGAATTTAGTAGCACTCGAGAGAACGAGGTAGATAAAGACAAACATTCCCTCTTTTAAAAAAAAAGAAGAAAAAATTGAACTCTAAGATTGTTTTACTGTGAAATTTCTCTATCTTCAATATATGCTTTAGACATGTAATGTTTCAACCACTTCCTTCAAGGTGCAAACTTGGGTATGAACTTAAGTTGACCAACTTTTTTGACCAATTGATTTCGGATCAAACCCAAAACTTAAGCAACGTCATAATATGGTGGGAGGTGTCATTTGGGGAGTTTTTACTAAAATCCAATTAATAATAATATGCAATGTTCTGACCACTCCCTTTATGGTACAAACTTGGATACGAACTTAAAGTGACCAACTTGTTTGACCAATTGATTTTGGATCGATTGCAAAACTTGGGCAACATCATAATATGGTGGGAAGTGTCATTTGGTCAATTTTTACTAAAATCCAATTAATAATACTATGCAATGTTCCAACTACTCCCTTTACGATACAAACTTGGGTACGAATGTAAAGTGACCAACTTCTTTGACCAATTCATTTAGGATTGAACCCAAAACTTGGGCAACATCATAATTAATGGGAGGAGTCATTTGGTGAGTTTTTACTAAAATTCAATTAATAAAACTATGCAATGTTCCAACCACTCCCTTCATGGTACGAACTTAGGTATGAACTTAAACTGACCAACCTCTTCGGCAATTGATTTCGGATCAGGGCCAAAACTTGGTCAACATCATAATATGGTGGCAGGAGTCATTTGGTGAGTATTTACTGAAATCCAATTACTAAAACTATGCAATGTTCCAACCACTCCCTTTACGATATGAACTTGGGTACGAACTTAAAGTGACCAACTTCTTAGACCAATTGATTTCGGATCGAACCCAAAACTTAGGGAACATCATAATATGTTGGTATGAGTTATTTGGTGAGTTTTTACTAAAATCCAAATAATAAAACTATGCAATGTGTCAACGACTCCCGTTACGGTACGAACTAGGATACGAACTTACTGTCCCTAACTTCTTTGACAAATTGATTTCGGATCGAAACCAAAACTTGAGCAACATCATAATATAGTGGGAGAAGTCATTTGGTGATTTTTTTTATTTTTATTTTACTAAAATCCAATTAATAAAACTATGCAATGTTCCAACGACTCCCTTCACGGTATGAACTTGGGTATGAACATAAAGTGACCAACTTCTTTGACCAATCGCTATCGGATTGAGGCCAAAACTTGGCAAACATCATAATATGGTGAGAGAAGTCATTTGATAAGTTTTTACTGAAATTCAATCACTAAAAGTATGCAATGCTTCAACCACACCCTTTAGTGTACGATCTGGGGTACGAACTTAAAGTGACTAACTTCTTTGACCAATTGATTTCGGATTTATGCTAAAAGTTGGGCAACATTAATATGGTGGGAGGAGTCATTTGATGAGTATTTATTAAAATCCAATCACTTAAACTATTCAATTTTTCAACAACTCCCTTTACGGTATGAACTTGGGTACAAACTTAAATGACCAACCTTTTTGACCAATTGATTTCGGATCGAACCAAAACTTGGGGAACATCATAATGTGGTGGGAGGAGTCATTTGGGTAGTTTTTACTGAAATCTAATTGCTAAAACTATGCAAAGTTGTAACCAATCCATTTATGGGACGAACTTGGGTACGAACTTACAATAACCAACGTCTTTGACCAATTTGATTTTGAATCGAGCAAAAAACTTGGGCAACATCATAATATAGTGGGAGGAGTCATTTGGTGAGTTTATACCAAAATCCAATTAATAAAACTTTGCAATGTTCTAACCACTCCCTTTACGGTACGAACTTAAAGTGATCAATTGAGTTCGAATCGAGCCCAAAACTTGGGCAACATCATAATATGGTGGGAGGAGTCATTTGGTGAGTTGTTACTAAAATCCAATTA